ACATATATTTATATATATATTTTTATATATATAAAATCCCTATATAAAAATATATATGTATATATGTAATAAATATCTATAACTGCTAATAATTTTATTGGAATTATTTGATATTTGAACTATTCAGCCACAACGAATATTTGAATTTGTTTTGAACGGTTCAAATGATTTAATTAATTTTTACAGTTCAAACTATAGTATCCGAATTATTCGACTCCTGTGATTTACTTGATAGTTCTCAAGTTCAGTAAGTTATAATATTTTTAATTTTTATAAATATGTTAGTATGTAAAATTTTCTTTTTTGGGTGATATATTTTAAAACAATTTTAAAAATTTTTTATTTTATTTATTAAAATAATTTTTTTTTAGAGTTTTTGAAACATACTATTTACAAAAATGTTTACAAAATCTATTTTGTACAAATTCTGGGTATATTTAAATTAATTAAATGATATTTGTGTCAGTTCAAATTAAGATACATCTTTGATATCAACCGATCTTTTAAGCACATGTTGTAGTATTAGTAACTTTATCAAATTTTAAAAGATTTTATCAAAATTCGGTTAAGACCGGTTAAGATCTGATTAAGTATTTCTGTAATTTTATCCTCCTAGGTGGAGCATATAGTCTCTGTTATCGATTTATATATAATGGGAATAGGTAACGCTGTCGTTTCATGAATAATTTGCATCTTTCAATTCGCGTTTCACTATTTTCCTACAAGTAATGGTCCGGGCTTCGGGGTGTCTAGAAATGCGCAGGTTCTACCCCACTGTCTGTCGAGCAATATTGCTATTTGGTCTTTCGAGTCTGTGTTCTATTTAGCTCATTTATATTCCTGAATTTCTTCGGTTGACCTTATTAAGTAATTTCGAGTGCACCGATTGATATTGAAAATATTTTGGGGTTATCACCATCAGATAACTAATTTGCTTGATTTAACCGGATTTTAACTAAATCTCTGGTCGAAATATTCTCACTAGACGCATAATGTTGGTTCAACCATGCCACGTGTTGCTTTCAAATCTTCATATCAGGTCAATTTAATCGCTATATGGGTAAAGCATATTCTTCTGGGTGCAGAATTGCAAGGTATTGAATTTTACCACTACTACATTTTAGTGGTACTCTATATGGCTTTAAGATATATTAAAAAATCTAAGTTATATCTTAATGAGTTGGATGTGGTATGCTTGTTTGACACTATGTTTCATTTATCTTTAACATTACATATCATAGTCATGAGATTTTCAAATTTTGTTATTTTTTCAAATATAATGGTCTGTTTTATAACCTGCAACCTGCAAGTCGTGCACAATAAAAGTATATAATTCTTTAACATTTTCGAAACTATTATTGTCACAAATACTGCAGTAGGGATATATTTTACATTCAAAGTAAATAAAAAAAAAAAATCAGATATATTGCGTCTGAAGTAACAATCCTTCTGATATTCGGTACAAGAGTTTTCGATACACTCTGCATTCAGAACACATTTTTCTTCATCGGCAGAAGCATTTTTTCTAAAAGGTTGACAGTTGTAATGCGAATTTCAGAAAAAAAAAAATTATCATAAGTCCTAACCGATAGGGACAATTTTTGGTAACCAGACAATTTTTATTGAGTAACCTGAGCACACACTCGGCACTATTAACTGGACGAAATGGCTGGTCTATCGATGTTCACTTAACACCCAGCGCATAGTTATGTTATGTTAAAAACAAACATGCGTGCACACGTTGGCTAATATGGGCAACTCAGTATGATCGAATGTATTATAGGACAAAATGGACGCAGCGTGTACGCTGCGTGCACGCTGGCTAGAATCCATTGCTTAATATGATCGATTATATTTTACAGCTTGATCGATTTTAACTTGCACGTTCGTTTTGCTGCAAGCATGCACTGGACCTTAGTAAATAAAATCTTAGTAAAAAATGTAAAGTCCTTTCCTTTCATAAGAACGCTCGTTTAACAGAGCTTTCACTGTAATATGATATTAAATCAGTAGAAAAAATTTATAACCAAATGAATATTTACCCAATTCTCTTTAATATTTTAACTAAAATATTAATATTAAAATATTAATATTAAAATATTAATGTTAATATTATTAAAATATTAATATTGTGTGAAATTTATGAAAATAATTTTTTTAGAATATATGTAGTAACTCTATTATCTTCTCTAATAATTAACTCTATTAATATTTTTGTGATTTTTAAAAAATATTTTATTTTTTATATACTATTTTTGCAAATTCTTAAAGACGTCATACCTATAAACTTGAAATGAACGCTGTTAACGCATTTGAGTCATGAAA